TTTCTGACAAATCTGTGTTTTATATACCGTGTGTTTCGCCTCCTCTCTGACAGATCTGTGTGCTTTATTTCTTGCCCCTTTTCTGACAAATCTGTGTTTTATATACCGTGTGTTTCGCCTCCTTTCTGACAGATCTGTGGGCTTTATTTCTTGCCCCCTTTCTGACATCTGTTTTATGCTGTATTTTTCGCCTCCTTTCTGACAGATCTGTTTTTCTGTACTTGTCGCCCCTTTCTGGAAGTTTTGTGTGTTTTTTATCGCCTTTGACAATTAGTATAACAATTAACATTTATTCAATTTTTTTATATAAGATTTTCATCGGATGGCAAAAATTTTTTGTTTATAAAAAAGAAACACAGTCGATCCAAAAATATAGTTTAGTTTATTTTTAAAAAGTTTAAAATTTTATTCTATAACACTTAATAAAATGATGGTTTTTCAGAAGAATTTTTGGATCGACTGTGTCTTTTTTTATAAACAAAAAAATTAGCATTTAATTAATTAACTAACTTTTTATTTTTGTCATTTTCTTTTACTTTTATTTTTCAATTTGCTTTCTCTTTCTATCACTTTATCCTCTCATTTTCATTTCCTTTCTTTAAGTTAAACCTTCTGTAATTTATTTTCATTTGGTTCCTATCCACTTACTGTGAAAGAAAACAAGAATCTGATAGATCCGAACCCACGTTCTTAATTAAAAATCCTTAAACACGTTTATTCTCTGACCTTATTTTCTAACAGTTAGTTGTATAGGTCATATATATTCGCGTCGAAAAACGTGGTTTCTATACTTTGTTCACTAGTTTAAGTGTTATTTGTTTATTAACAGTATCGATTACTCGGTTACTACACTCGCTATTTACGAATTTTTTGCTTATATTTATCAATAGTATACAAAAATCTCTCTTCATTCACTTCACTCCCTTATCTTCTCGTTAGGTATTCTGCTTATTCGAGTATTTTTCCCCCCTTTCTGTTTACTCTTAAGCTTCTTTTATTCGTAAATATTCAACGGAAAATCGAAAGTCTCGGATGATTTTTACGTAATCTTTTGAAAAAAAAAAAAGTGCAAAAAAAAATGAGGAAGTTATGTTTACATTCACGCATCAGATTCTAGTAAATTAACCATAAACAATGCTAACGTGGCTGTTTTATGCGATTTACTACAGCAGCAATATTCATTGAGTGGATGGAAATTTTTGCAAACGCTTGCATGGTGTGTGTAACAGCCTGTGTTTTACTTTTTGTGTGTGTTCGCTGATTCGACAATTTTTTGGATAATTTAAAAATCTGTCAAAAAAGGCAAATGTTGCCATTTATCATGAACATCTACATTATTCAGGTTGGTGTTTTATACTTTTATTTAGTGTTATTGTATAGTTACGACGGTTAAGGATGCGTGTAAAGGTATACAAAGACGAAGATTGATATGTGAAAAACGTCTGCTTTCTTCATTATCACTATTGTTCGTTTATCTAGACAGTGTTTTATACATTTCTGTACAAAATTTTTCTTGTACAAAACGTACATTTCTTCACATTTTGTGAAGAATGTGCAAAATATAAACGTGTTGTATACGCTTGCAGCTCGTTGATGATATATACAAGTCACAATTGATCCGTTTTCTTTAACTCTTTCTTTCCTAAGATGGCTTTTTTTCAGACCAAACCCACAATAGGGTGGCCAGATGAGGAATAGGGCCCAACGTATCTTGGACAGACTTCCACTAGTGGGCTAATGGGTAAAATCACTGAATATCGGTAACTCACTAACAAACTGCCCACGTGGTTTACCGGATCTTCACGTTTGTAACACCTAATTAGGGGTCAACTTCCCCCACAAAAACTCCTCCCGGTACTCAGCAACGCCCGAATGTTCCTTTTCTGAATCCTTACAAAAATTTCTAAGTTAATTGGCCCGGGTTTGTAATGTACCCATTAAAAAAAAAAACAAAAAACACCTATCTTTTGTCTTTGATACAACAGAAACCTACAAAAATAATTCAAATTAAAATCGTTTTGTCTTTACGATAAAGCGTCTCGGACAGACAATACTGTAGAAATCAAAACTCTGGTCATCATACTTGAGATATGATGAGAGATTGAGGTATCAAGTGAAAGGTATTTATATTACATCTGTGTGTCTGGATTATATTTTATACGTGAAAATTCTCTTACTCAACACCTGTACAACAAGAGAAATATATAAGATTTTCTTACGTAACCCCGTAATAAAAAATAATTATAGTTAAGTCAGGTTTATCTGGTTGTTACGTTGCGTAAAGCAACTCTCATACACGTATTCACGAAAACGAAACAAGAATTTAAATCTCACGTAAACGTTAATTCGGAAATCACTTCCGATTAGCGTAATTACCACGTCATTTTCTATAAGGAACTGATACGTCACGCTATATAATTGGATACAGCTGTATAACTATCAGGAAACTCGATGATGTACAATACAATACAGTATAATATATTCAGTCGTTACGTGATGATAATCATGATTTTCCTGCTTATGTAAGGTCATTCTTGTCGTTAAATCGAGGTATTTGAGGTGTGCGTTACGCGTGAAGTCCCTAATTTATTATTTTTGTGGTATTCGGGTATTAAGATCCTATTGATTTTTCAGGCTTTTTCCAGTTATGCCTCTAGTTATAGGTGCCCCACAACTTACAGTTACACTACAGGCCCTTTTGTATTGTGATAACGTTGTATAATTTGCGCTCGACCTGTTACAACCTTGGTAAACAGCAATTTATTAAATGATGTAGAATCCTTTTCACGACATGTGGTATTATTTGCTATTTTTCTATGACAATTATTCGGCGTACATCAAAATACATCTGTATTTTTTTTATTTTTTTTATCATTTTTGTGTATTGTTAACAAAATAAGGCAAAATTTCCTCGTGAGGACCTTTTTTCTGCCTCTAATATAGCACAAAAACATCAAAAAAATCTTCTTATTGGGCTATAATTAGGCTAATTAATTAATAAGGTATTCAGTAATTTGGCTAAAGATAGGAGATTAAACCGCCATCTCGTGTTAAAAGCTTCCTTCTGGGTAATATTCTAAATTAAATTAATTTATTCCTAATTATTAATGTAACACGAGATGGCGGTTTAATCGCCTAACTCTAGCCAAATTACTTAATATCTTATTAATTAATTAGCCATATTATAGCCCAATAAAAATGGGGCTGTGTCGCTTGATTAATAATTGTTATCGAGTTGATTGTATATAATTAAAACAAAAATCATAAAAATTATATTTTTCTGATGAGATATTCAATAAAATCCAGCAAAATCGTATTGTTTTTTCTCTCGGGGTAGAGCGTCCAAGACAGACAACAGCGTAGAAAGTATAAAATAAACATCAAAAACTGTTCATCGAGTTACTATATCATTCTTAGAAAGAAAACAAACGGGTCAGAATCAATTTAGCTTCATACAAAACTACACTTTTACCTGATTTTGCCTCATTTATCTATCAAAGAGGTGGATTCTTCCCACTATCCGAGTGTAACGTTCTTACTTCATATCGAAATTCTAAGACCACCCCGACGTTAAATAAATACTTCAGTTGATAAAAGAAGGCAGGTTGAAGTGAATTTCAAAAACTTTGGGGCATTTTCAGATATTTATCACCGTAAAAACAAAAACAAAATACACAAGAATCGCGCGGATATGCCTACATTCATAATGATATCGCGTACAAAACAAATATGGCGTCACTGTATTTCAAGTATAGGATTTCGGACATTTGATAAATAAATTTTGAAATTATTTTCTTATTTGTATTCTTATAAATGCTATTTAAATGATCTTCACTCTTAAAATATTCATTAATTAACATAAAAAATCTGAATCTAGTCTTCATAATTAGAGACTGCATCAATCATGGCGTCGTTGTATGGTGTAGACGTTTGAAAGCTTAGATACGAAATTGATTTGTCATTTATAACCTTGTAAGCTATATCTAAACATCCCTCGACATTCAAAATTAATTGTAAATATAAAATAAAGCCTTAAATCGTATTTTCTTTCGTATGATCTATACTGAGATCTTATCAATATTTGTCCTTCTGTAGTGATAAGAGGTTCGTTCCAATTGGGAACGACGTGTTTGCAATTCGCTATACGATTATTTTTTCGATCTGTAGTACGATCTAAATTATGAATTTAAAAGAGTAATGAATAAAACTTGCGTAAGAACAAAGTAGAGCACAGATTAAACGGTATCATTTAAGAAGCATATTGGACTGGATTTATGGAAGGCATGGGAGTAACTCTCGAGGACTTTCTATCGGAAAATGGCCCTGTTTATCTGTTAGACACGTAAGAAAACACTTAAAACCACGATACAATCTCGAGAAACTGGCTCTGTTTAGTGGTTAGGCAGATAAAGAAACCCCTAGAAAACCATCAGGCCAACTCGTTGGTGTGGCGCAAACCCACTATCGGTGTTCAGTATTTTATTACTTCGCCCCTCGTGAGCCATAATATCCGTCAGCAATGAAGAACTTCATTATTGCTACTTAATGTACTTCAAAAATGTACAGTACGTAACGTATTCTTCTAACTATTGAGTATATATCTTATATAGAAATACCCTAGTATGAAGTACAGTATTCCATGTATTTGCATTTGTAACAACAACGAAGAACTTCATTGTTTCTTACAATAGATAGATTTAATCCAGTAGCGAGATTATATAATACAATAGCCCCTCGTTATATCGCGGATTCGGATATATCGGACATTAATTGGTTAAATCGAATTGGATCATTAGCCATAAAATTCGTCAAAACTTTCTTCTGTAATGGAAGTCGCTATATCTTTCGTCGATTGATTTTCTAATTGTGTAAGTTTATTTATCAAAATTTCATCTTATCCTTTAACCTAATTAATTTTCTTATTATTTTAAATTCATTTGGAATTCCTAATTCGACTTTCAAAATGTTCGATTACGAAACTGGATTAGAATTTCCATCAAGATTGACGAAGATAAAGAAACGTTATCAATAATTTTAATCATAATATTCATCTTTAGAAGTGTAGTATTTAATATTCTAAAATATAAAATTAATTCAAAATTATTCCATGTCTTGTATAGCATTTAATAGTATATTATGCAATTAGTTTATAATATAGGCGATTATGAATGGAAGTTTGGAACACGAATGGGCTAATTCCATGAATGCCATAATCTCTAATTATAAACGTATTGTCATGCTGTATTTTATGGTTATACTACGGCATTAATACTGTACTTATGGAACTCAAAATCAATTAAAAACACTGTTTTTGGCCGTAAAGCCGTGTCACAAACGTGTTTATACATGATTTTGAGTTCCATAAGTATAGTATTAATAATAAATATATAACATATTTTATTTTTTAATATCAAAAACCAAAAAATTAAATAAAACTAGCGATAAAAAAATTCCATTAACTCGATCAAAATTTCTAATAAAATTCTCCTAATTGGCAACACTTAGTAGTACTAAAGAACATAAAACGTTGCCAATTCAAATAAATTTCTTAGTACTAAACAATACTTTTTATAATTAATGGTTTTTTCCCCAATTAAATACCCCTAATCGATCGAATTATTTATAAAATTGCATAGGAACAAGGTTTGTTTTATTATTTAAAATAGTTTACTTTATAAATAAATATTTACTTATGACATAAAAACAGAGCAAAATTCAATNGGGTTTGTAATGTACCCATTAAAAAAAAAAACAAAAAACACCTATCTTTTGTCTTTGATACAACAGAAACCTACAAAAATAATTCAAATTAAAATCGTTTTGTCTTTACGATAAAGCGTCTCGGACAGACAATACTGTAGAAATCAAAACTCTGGTCATCATACTTGAGATATGATGAGAGATTGAGGTATCAAGTGAAAGGTATTTATATTACATCTGTGTGTCTGGATTATATTTTATACGTGAAAATTCTCTTACTCAACACCTGTACAACAAGAGAAATATATAAGATTTTCTTACGTAACCCCGTAATAAAAAATAATTATAGTTAAGTCAGGTTTATCTGGTTGTTACGTTGCGTAAAGCAACTCTCATGCACGTATTCACGAAAACGAAACAAGAATTTAAATCTCACGTAAACGTTAATTCGGAAATCACTTCCGATTAGCGTAATTACCACGTCATTTTCTATCAGGAACTGATACGTCACGCTATATAATTGGATACAGCTGTATAACTATCAGGAAACTCGATGTACAATACAATACAGTATAATATATTCAGTCGTTACGTGATGATAATCATGATTTTCCTGCTTATGTAAGGTCATTCTTGTCGTTAAATCGGGGTATTTGAGGTGTGCGTTACGCGTGAAGTCCCTAATTTATTATTTTTGTGGTATTCGGGTATTAAGATCCTATTGATTTTTCAGGCTTTTTCCAGTTATGCCTCTAGTTATAGGTGCCCCACAACTTACAGTTACACTACAGGCCCTTTTGTATTGTGATAACGTTGTATAATTTGCGCTCGACCTGTTACAACCTTGGTAAACAGCAATTTATTAAATGATGTAGAATCCTTTTCACGACATGTGGTATTATTTGCTATTTTTCTATGACAATTATTCGGCGTACATCAAAATACATCTGTATTTTTTTTATTTTTTTTATCATTTTTGTGTATTGTTAACAAAATAAGGCAAAATTTCCTCGTGAGGACCTTTTTTCTGCCTCTAATATAGCACAAAAACATCAAAAAAATCTTCTTATTGGGCTATAATTAGGCTAATTAATTAATAAGGTATTCAGTAATTTGGCTAAAGATAGGAGATTAAACCGCCATCTCGTGTTAAAAGCTTCCTTCTGGGTAATATTCTAAATTAAATTAATTTATTCCTAATTATTAATGTAACACGAGATGGCGGTTTAATCGCCTAACTCTAGCCAAATTACTTAATATCTTATTAATTAATTAGCCATATTATAGCCCAATAAAAATGGGGCTGTGTCGCTTGATTAATAATTGTTATCGAGTTGATTGTATATAATTAAAACAAAAATCATAAAAATTATATTTTTCTGATGAGATATTCAATAAAATCCAGCAAAATCGTATTGTTTTTTCTCTCGGGGTAGAGCGTCCAAGACAGACAACAGCGTAGAAAGTATAAAATAAACATCAAAAACTGTTCATCGAGTTACTATATCATTCTTAGAAAGAAAACAAACGGGTCAGAATCAATTTAGCTTCATACAAAACTACACTTTTACCTGATTTTGCCTCATTTATCTATCAAAGAGGTGGATTCTTCCCACTATCCGAGTGTAACGTTCTTACTTCATATCGAAATTCTAAGACCACCCCGACGTTAAATAAATACTTCAGTTGATAAAAGAAGGCAGGTTGAAGTGAATTTCAAAAACTTTGGGGCATTTTCAGATATTTATCACCGTAAAAACAAAAACAAAATACACAAGAATCGCGCGGATATGCCTACATTCATAATGATATCGCGTACAAAACAAATATGGCGTCACTGTATTTCAAGTATAGGATTTCGGACATTTGATAAATAAATTTTGAAATTATTTTCTTATTTGTATTCTTATAAATGCTATTTAAATGATCTTCACTCTTAAAATATTCATTAATTAACATAAAAAATCTGAATCTAGTCTTCATAATTAGAGACTGCATCAATCATGGCGTCGTTGTATGGTGTAGACGTTTGAAAGCTTAGATACGAAATTGATTTGTCATTTATAACCTTGTAAGCTATATCTAAACATCCCTCGACATTCAAAATTAATTGTAAATATAAAATAAAGCCTTAAATCGTATTTTCTTTCGTATGATCTATACTGAGATCTTATCAATATTTGTCCTTCTGTAGTGATAAGAGGTTCGTTCCAATTGGGAACGACGTGTTTGCAATTCGCTATACGATTATTTTTTCGATCTGTAGTACGATCTAAATTATGAATTTAAAAGAGTAATGAATAAAACTTGCGTAAGAACAAAGTAGAGCACAGATTAAACGGTATCATTTAAGAAGCATATTGGACTGGATTTATGGAAGGCATGGGAGTAACTCTCGAGGACTTTCTATCGGAAAATGGCCCTGTTTATCTGTTAGACACGTAAGAAAACACTTAAAACCACGATACAATCTCGAGAAACTGGCTCTGTTTAGTGGTTAGGCAGATAAAGAAACCCCTAGAAAACCATCAGGCCAACTCGTTGGTGTGGCGCAAACCCACTATCGGTGTTCAGTATTTTATTACTTCGCCCCTCGTGAGCCATAATATCCGTCAGCAATGAAGAACTTCATTATTGCTACTTAATGTACTTCAAAAATGTACAGTACGTAACGTATTCTTCTAACTATTGAGTATATATCTTATATAGAAATACCCTAGTATGAAGTACAGTATTCCATGTATTTGCATTTGTAACAACAACGAAGAACTTCATTGTTTCTTACAATAGATAGATTTAATCCAGTAGCGAGATTATATAATACAATAGCCCCTCGTTATATCGCGGATTCGGATATATCGGACATTAATTGGTTAAATCGAATTGGATCATTAGCCATAAAATTCGTCAAAACTTTCTTCTGTAATGGAAGTCGCTATATCTTTCGTCGATTGATTTTCTAATTGTGTAAGTTTATTTATCAAAATTTCATCTTATCCTTTAACCTAATTAATTTTCTTATTATTTTAAATTCATTTGGAATTCCTAATTCGACTTTCAAAATGTTCGATTACGAAACTGGATTAGAATTTCCATCAAGATTGACGAAGATAAAGAAACGTTATCAATAATTTTAATCATAATATTCATCTTTAGAAGTGTAGTATTTAATATTCTAAAATATAAAATTAATTCAAAATTATTCCATGTCTTGTATAGCATTTAATAGTATATTATGCAATTAGTTTATAATATAGGCGATTATGAATGGAAGTTTGGAACACGAATGGGCTAATTCCATGAATGCCATAATCTCTAATTATAAACGTATTGTCATGCTGTATTTTATGGTTATACTACGGCATTAATACTGTACTTATGGAACTCAAAATCAATTAAAAACACTGTTTTTGGCCGTAAAGCCGTGTCACAAACGTGTTTATACATGATTTTGAGTTCCATAAGTATAGTATTAATAATAAATATATAACATATTTTATTTTTTAATATCAAAAACCAAAAAATTAAATAAAACTAGCGATAAAAAAATTCCATTAACTCGATCAAAATTTCTAATAAAATTCTCCTAATTGGCAACACTTAGTAGTACTAAAGAACATAAAACGTTGCCAATTCAAATAAATTTCTTAGTACTAAACAATACTTTTTATAATTAATGGTTTTTTCCCCAATTAAATACCCCTAATCGATCGAATTATTTATAAAATTGCATAGGAACAAGGTTTGTTTTATTATTTAAAATAGTTTACTTTATAAATAAATATTTACTTATGACATAAAAACAGAGCAAAATTCAATACAATTTACATTATTTATCGGTTGTAACGGCACATTTTTTTTTCAATTATGACAACATCCTTTCGTTTAAATCGTGGGAAAAACAAGTTACGTTCATTACCCGGAAACAAAGTTAGAATTTTTACATTTAACGCAACATCCTTCCGTCTAACTGCTACATTTATACGAGAAAACTTTAGATTCATTCAGTTAAAGTTGCCTTGCCTTCTTCTGTAGATATTGATGGACGAGCCGAGTAATAATCTACATCAAGACGATCATGTTATTGATATGGATAAAAGTATCACAAATACAGATGTGGAACCTAAACACAGCTTCAAGGGGATGTTCGAGAACCAAGCTTTCGAAATCGTATCAGAAAACTTGGTAAGTAATTTAAATTTTTTTATGTAATTTCGAGCCGAATTCATCTGAAAATCTTCATTTTTCTTCAGGATGACGATCACAAAACTACATTTGGAAGTCAGAAATTGAGGATTAGCGAACCTCTTGCTGCCGAAGAGGGCGGTTTTTTGGATAGATTAGAGTACCGTGTAGAAGAATGGTATAGCAGCAATAAAACACGATTAAAATATATTATGTACACCTTGCTTTTTGTGTTGTACAATGTCTACTTAGGTTTTGCCATTGTTTACACGTGGGACAAGACACCCAATTGGTGCCAAGGAGTTCGATTTCTAGTTATCATCACTGCCGTTGTTTATTTCCTCCTTATTTATTATAATATTTTACAAAAATACATCTCTGTACGCCGTTATCGTTGTACTCCCGTAGAACCCATCAAGAAATTGTTTAGATGGAAGTACACGTTTGGGTATTATCATTTTTTTTATAGATTCTAACGTCATAATGTATCTAAAAAATAGTAATTTTTTATTATTATTTTCATTTTTCAGGTGGATCTGGACACTTATCTTCTTAGCAATCCTAATATTTCTAATCATTGACTCATCAAATAATCGCTTCCGTTTGGTATCATTTGGAGGCTTAATCGTTTATATTTTATTAGGATACATTTTCTCTAAACATAGAAAACTCGTAAGTGAATTTCCCATTTTAAAATAACAATGATAATTTAATTTACTTATTAAAGTACTTTGTTTATTTCGTGTACTGTACCGAAGCCATATTAGAGAGGTTGCGGCCGACGTTTTCATCGCGAAAACGTGCACGTCGGACGTTCAGCGCCACCTCCCTGTAATCCTAGAAGTTTGACAATGGCGTTTGGAACATCAGTGGAATCATGCTCGACGTATCAAACACCATTGTCAAACTTCTAGGCTTACAGGAAGGCGGCCCTGAACGTCTGAAGTACACGTTTTCGCGATGAAAACGTCGGCCGCAACCTCTCTATTGTCAGAAACGTCGCGACTTTGAGAGCGATCAAACAAAATGGCGAAGAAATCTTATTTTGATTCAAATATATATTGTATTAATTTTTTTATTAGTTAAAATGTTTTTATTTTTTTAGATAATATGGAAGCAAGTATTATTGGGTACGTTACTCCAATTTTTATTTGGTTTAATGATTCTAAGATGGGAAGTTGGAAAGGAACTTTTCAAATGCTTCGGAGAAAAAGTAGACAGTTTCCTAAAATACACTGATTACGGATCAACTTTTGTATTTGGTTATTTAGTAGATGGTAAATTAGCAGGTGGTGCCCCACAACAGATCGGAATTTTCGCATTCAAGGTAAAAATTGCTTTACAAATTGTATCTTTACCATCTCTTTCGAGTTGGATACAACTGAAAAACTACTTTTCTTATTCTTCAGGTTCTCTCCGTTATATTTTTCTTCAGTTTTTGCACTTCGATTTTGTATTATTATGGCATTATGCAAAGAGTAATAATGAAAGTGGGTTGGTTCCTTCAGAAGGCTATGGGAACCACAGCTTGTGAATCTATGAATGCTGCTGGAAATATATTTTTGGGCATGGTGAGTTCGAAGTTTTTTTTAGCAAAATAAATCAATTTTATTCGTATAATATTAACATAATTCCTCTTGTAGACTGAAGCTCCTCTTTTGATCAGGCCTTTCTTGCCACTCATGACCAAATCTGAAATCCATGCTGTGATGACCGGTGGCTTTGCCACAATTGCTGGAGGTGTTTTGGCAGCTTACATTAATTTTGGCGTATGTAATTTTAATCTAAACGAATATTTTCTGAAGAATTTTAAAATAATTTTATAAATTTACTATTCAGATAAGTCCTAGTCACTTGTTATCTGCATCTGTCATGTCGGCACCAGCGGCTCTTGCTTATGCCAAATTGTTTTACCCCGAATCAGAAATAAGTAAAACTCAATGCGATGATATTAAAATGGAAAAAGGGTAAAGATAATTATATATAATTTGATCTGCTATTGTGTAATTTAATACAATTATAATTTATAACGATTTAAACTGTATTTTTTCAGACAAGAACGAAATGCTCTGGAAGCGGCGTGTAATGGCGCAAGCTCTGCAATTGCTTTAGTGGCTAACATTGCTGCTAACTTGATAGCATTTTTAGCATTTATTCATTTTGTAGATAATTTAATTATGTGGTTTGGCAGTTTGTTAGGTTACGACTTCATATCTTTCGAGGTAAGCAATAATAATTACTACTTAATTAACTGTCAGTCATCGGCTTCTTCGATTCGTGACACTAAATAACTTTAATTTTCAGTGGATTTTATCTAAGATCTTTGTTCCCCTCTCATTGCTTATGGGTGTAGAATGGAAAGACTGCCAAGACGTAGCCAGGTTAATAGGCCTAAAAACTGTAGTTAACGAATTCGTAGCGTACAAGACTTTATCAGAATTAATTGCTCAAAATAAAATTTCTGTAAGATATTACTTATTTTAGTTCATTATTTTTGATTTAAATACAGATTAATTCATTAAAAGTCTCGTTAATTAGGCCCGATCTCAAGCCATAGCCACGTATGCCCTATGTGGATTTTCAAACATAGGTTCTATAGGGATACAATTAGGAGGATTGAGCGCATTGGCTCCCGATAGAAAATCTGATATAGCTAGTGTAGCGGTTAGAGCCATGATAGCAGGATCAGCAGCGTGTTTCATGACGGCGTGCATTGCTGGTGAGTAACTTTTCAATAAAATTTAATCCATTCGAAATTTGCCTTAATCTTAAACACTTTAATTCTCTTTCAGGTGCACTTATAGAAACACCATCTTAATACCGAAGTTTTCGGTTAAGTGTATAAACTTCATCTCATCGACGTCGCCATCTTCATTCTCATCATCCTTACAATGTACAGATGTTATTGAATTGTAATAAATGATTATTATTATTAATTAATAACTGCGTTAANCATGTATTTGTAAAATATAAGTGACTCGTACAACATGGAATTCATATAAAACGGAATTATCAACAGTGTTATAGGGGGTCGACTGTATTTTAATATTATTTTAAAAAATTATGTATAATGTTATTTTATCTTTTAATTTATTACTTTTCCAACTTTTAGGTTAATGCAACTCACTTGTTATCAGCTTCGGTTATGTCGGCTCCTGCGGCATTGTCGTTCGCCAAGTTATTTTATCCAGAAACTGAAGAAACTAAAACTTCTATCAAGCATATTAAAGTGGAAAAGGGGTACAAAAATGCTTTATTTACTTTACTAATAAGTTAATTATGGAGTCCATTTTATATATAATTTTTATTTTTATTTTTTTAGAACCGAAAAAAACGTTCTTGAAGCTGCAGTTAATGGTGTAACGTCAGCCGTTAATATAGTAGTAAACATGGCTGTAAATATGATTGCTTTCTTGGCATTCGTTAATTTTTTGGATGGAACAATATCGTGGTTTGGTAGTTTACTCGGATACGAATACATCACCTTTGATGTGAGTTAAATCACTTCTTTAACACGTTTTTAATAAATACAGAGAGGCCATAATAAGTTTCTCTATTCAGAACACTGTAATCAATAAGAGAATTGACATAAAGTGCACTGAATAGGAAACTTTAATTATTCCCATCCTGTGTAATAACTGTTTCTTTTTTGGGGGGATGTAATTTCCAGTGGATTGTTTCTAAATGTTTCATTCCCATATCAATTATAATGGGAATCGAATGGAAAGATGCAGAACATGTAGCCAACTTAGTAGGAATTAAAACTATTGTTAACGAATTTGTAGCATACCAGAAGTTAGGAGAGTTAAAGAAGGCAAATAAAATATCTGTAAGTTTTTATACAGTAAATTTATGGTATAATTTAATAAATTTATATTTATATTCTTGTAATTTTAACACTACAGAAACGATCAGAATACATAGCAACGTATGCCCTCTGCGGGTTTTCAAATATTAGCGCAATAGGAATACAAATGGGTGCTCTAATTGCCATTGCACAAAATAAGAAGTCCGATATTGCTACTGTTTCGGTGCGTGCTCTAATTGCTGGTTCTTTTGCGTGTTTCATGACAGCGTGTATAGCTGGTATGTTCCATTTTATGTACTAATTTCATGAATTTTAATTAAAAGATAACTTTTATTTATTTTCCTTTCAGGTTCACTCATATAAACTTAATTGCTAAATCACTTATTTTAATAAAAAAAAATAAGGATTTAATCAAGACCTATAAACGTTTCTGTGTTATATTAAATGTGTTTGTAAAATACTTTAATGTCAGTTGATTAAAATAATTTGACGGTTTTTTTGTGTGTTGTTGTACATAAAAATCAAATGTTTGCCCGTTTTTTCCTTTAATTTAATGTGTAGAGATTCCTTTCACAGTTTAAAGTTACGTGAAGCTTTATATTTTCCACAATATGTAATTACAGTCGACCCCCTATAACACTGTTGATGATTCCGTTTTATATGAATTCCATGTTGTACGAGTCACTTAGATTTTACAAATACGTGAGCCGTTCACAACCCGGCACACGTATTTGTAAAATCTAAGTGACTCGTACAACATGGAATTCATATAAAACGGAAT